CCCTTATTATAAACTTAAATATGACATGTCGAGACATAGACAAATTATTGATCTCTAGGTGTATTGTTAATACAAAGATGTGTTTGTTGCTTTGAAATAAGGATGGTTTTGATTGTAATCTGTTGGTAATCTTTGTTGATGTTGTTTTATGCATTACGAATTAGTCCCCATATTATAAGTTGTGTAGACCCTGTGTCATGTTATTTAATTCCTTTTTATTAATAAATTGGTACACAATAGCTTAAGAGCATGATTTTTGTAGAACCTTAAGTCTCTTTTATTATGCAGATGAAATCCTCTTGTTTCTTTTTTATTTATTTATTTATTCTTTACAGGTTATTTTTCTTAACATGTGCTTTTTAAATGACATTGTTTACTTATTTGCAGTTAGGAAGGCGCATACCCTTGGGTTGCAAAGGCCCTTTTTAGCATTTTGGGAAAGCCTTAGTTACCCTTATACCGTATGCAGAATATTTTAAAGACAACATTACAGGTTTTACCTGGAATAAGAGTAGGATATTATGATGTGGAACAAGTCATCTTGATTTCTAAAATTTGAAGTATGATAGAAGTGCATTGAATAGGGTTTGAGGTTCTATTTTCTTGATTGCTATTGTTTGCAAGGACTTTTTGCCTCCTGGTTGTATTCTTCTTTCTTCTTCTAAATAATATGTTTCTTGTCTAAAGTAGTCTGTCTGATGGCTACTCATGGAGCATCAATCGGCTTATTTGTAACTAGAAAACATATGCCACACTGATGGAAGAGATAAAACATACTCCCTTGTGAAAATATACAGTATCATACGGAAGAGATAAAACATACTCCCTTGTGAACATATACAGCATCATTTGTTAAGAATATCTTTTATTGTTTGTACTTGCAACCATCTTCTATATATACTTGTTCACTTTCTTTTTCCAAAATAACATGCTCATTTCTTATGCTAAATGTTAGTTTGTTGTCAAAATTTTGTATTTTGCTTTGTCAATTTAAACCCGGGCCGAGTCCGTCTAACCATGTTCTTTTGAAACTTGGAGTCTGATAAGGTTATGAGGGGTACTAAAGACTAACAATCTTCATTTATAATGATCAGAATGTTGTATTCACAATTGTTAATTGTATTGCCATCCCTAATTTTTTTTGCGATTAAGGCTTTGGTGTTGTTGTATTGCCTTCCCTAATGTGAACATAATTTCTGGTTTCCGTTTTCTTTAATTAATTTTACTGCTTGTAGAATGGAAATTCTGAAAGTGTATATTGGAAGCCTGAAAATTTGGTATATTTAATATCTATAGGTTTGGCAAAAGCACAAGGAGAATTTGATTTTGATGGAAAGATATCACTACTTCTCCTCTAGTTGTCGCCAATTTGGCTTTAATTGTAAGTCGTTATCAGAGTTGAAAGGTGATGAGAATGAGGCAGATGGAGCACTTGCAACTGTTCTAGGAGTCCTGAAAAGCATTCATGAAAAATTCTTTGATCCTGTAAGCATTTTTGTTTTACTGTTTATAGTTGCTTGTTTTATCTACTTGAATGTGCTTAATGACATAGTATCTTGTAATTTTCTTGTAGGAAAATGGAGATGACTTTGCTGCAAGGGATGTGAGACAGGTGAAATCCTATTTTGTGTTATGTGCCTCTTCTGTTTTGATTTTGTTCAGGGGTTTATATATTATGCTAATTGGCTATTGATGTAAGCTGTTATGTGAAAACCATTATTCTTTTCGTGTTTCTTATTTTACTTGTCTTGTGCTTTTCTCCCTTGCATATGCATGTGGTGGTGGCAGCATGGCAAAGATCTATTCTGCTAAGCGCCTAAGCTGTTGTAATTATGTGCGGACTTTGCACTTTAACTATATGTTTTTTGGTTTTAGGGTCAATGTAGATTGTTTTGACAATGAGCTTAAACATGTTGCTTTACAAGGTTTTTTTTTTTTTTTTTTTTTTTTTTTTTTGGGGGTGGGGGTTTAAGTGCAGAGGGAGATATGAATTGTCTTGTCTTCAGTTTTGAGTATATCCTAGCAGATATTGGTTGTAAGTAATTAATACTCTCTCCGCGTCAAATTACTTACAAATCAAGTGCATGCTAGCTAAAAAGCTCATCTGCTTGAGCTTGCTAGTATGCTTGGCTGCTTGCTGAATTGCACTACCTAGCTTGATTTTTAACCCTGCCAAGTCAATGAGATGATGTACCTGATTATTAGTATCGTTCCTCAAATACAAAGACTATTTCATGCAATGAAGCATTTGTATCCTATTTCTCTGCATCATGTATAGTAGAGCTGTATAGTAGAGCGTCGTTTCTGATTCTGTTGGATCTTTTACTGTATGTAAGGTGTATAGTCAGATTGGAGTTGAAGTAACTTCAATCCATGTGGGAATGGATTGCATCACTACTTATTGGCATAATAGCAGGTGAATTGTCAGAATGTTTTTAGTTTCATAGGTGTGAGACTCAATATTCCCTTTTTTCCCCTTTTCTACATTTCCTTTTGCGTGTTATGAGGTAAGATGGATCTTATGTTTTTTGCAATTGTGTAGTAGAGGGTGAGATTGAACTGTTGATGTTGGCAAGATAAGTGAGTTTGATTTTCAGTACTTGTTGTTTTACTGGGATATCATTGAGGTGCATTGGCTGGCACTGGTTGGTTAATGTAACCGGAGTAAGATTAATGCCATCAGCGTAAATTGATAAACAAGAGACAATCTTATTGCCAGTGTTCAGCGTTCTGCCACTGTATGCCTTTTTTTGGCAACCTTGGACTCAGTCTACACATCTCTTCATAGTGCATCAGCACCATGGCTTCACCTTGTTTGAATTTGATTTTCCTGTTTAGTACTCTCACCATCCCTTTATCTTTGCGATGATTCGATTTTTGTTAGTCTAACCTTGTTACTCTAAATTATATATTTCATATGATCTTGCAATTCTGAAGAAAATACCATCATTATTATCTTCAAAATGGTTTCAAATTTTTGTCTCGTTTGTAGTTTCCTCTTAGCCTCTAAGAATGAAATGTCATATATTGATTGTCCCTCGTAGTTTTGTTCTTGTAAGTGGATTTAAATATTTGAGAGTTCAATTATTTGATCATGTGCATTGTATGTGAGTATGTGTCAATCAAGAATAACAATGTAACATTTACATTGATGATGCTTTTTAAATGTTGTGCTAGACTTTTTCTGAAGGATTTAATTGAGCTTCTTTGCTGGCGCCTTTGATATGATTTTGTTATTAACCTGAATCTCACCACCATCAAATTAAGTGAATATCATATTGATGGTGCAGGTATTGAAACAAATACGGAAGGAGGTTCTCAAAGATTGTAAGATAGTATTCAGTAGAGTTTTTTCAACAAAATACCAAGCTGCAAACCACCATCTGTGGAAGATGGCTGAACAGTTAGGAGCAAAGTGCTCCATTGAAGTTGATTCCTCCGTTACACATGTTGTGTCAACTGATGCTGGTACAGATAAGTCGCGTTGGGCACTTCAGCATGGCAAATTTTTAGTCCATCCAAGGTGGCTTGAAGCTGCAAACTATATGTGGAATAGAAAATCAGAAGATGAGTTTCCGGTTAGTCTAACAAAGAGCAAATGACTTTTGTAGCTGTTTTTGTAGGACTTGAGGTCGTATAATATGTGGTGTACATGTAATAGGTTTTGCTGGCTGACATAGGATTTCCTACCTCTTTTGAATTTTGTTGGGAGATGTGTAGGAATCATCCATACAGTGATACGGGTATTTATGAAGATCTCTATACGTTGACAAATTAGGATTTACTTATTGTAGGCGTCAAATGAAGCTTGCGTACCTAAGTATGTGGTGAATATGTATGGCAATCATAGAAAGTAAGATTTGACATTATACGATAAGGAAAAAAAAAAGTAGGGAGTATCTAATAAGTTTGTAAGGAGCTTGTAAACTGTTCATGAATCATTAAAGACAATCACGAAAGGAACAAAATCGAAAGGTAACATTGATTTGATCCAAGAAGGTTACATCCTATTCATAATTCATGAGATTACTAACTCCATATAGCTACAAACTACGAATGAAGGAATAGGGATGTTGGTAAGTAATGAAGTCACAGAAGTAAACTTCGTCCGTATTAGCCTGTACTCAATTGTTATTGTAAAAAGTATTTCTTGCGATTTGAAGACATATAAACAAAAGATTTAATTTGCACCAAACATAGGATTTTGGGAATTTGGGTTTAGGGTTCATGATATAAAGCTAGGGATTTTTTTAATTTGAAAAAACAAAGTTGATTTTTCCTTAATATATACTTTGTAGGTCCTAAATCAAAATGGCGCCATTACGAGCCCATATCTTCTAATACGTAGATTGTTTAAGGTTTTAGGGTGGTTCCTTCACGAAACTTTATATACTTTTGTAATATAAATCCCGGTCTTCTTAGAATTTGAAAAATGAAACTTCATTTTTCCTTAAATTAGAGGTCTTAAATCAAAATGCCGAAATCGCGAGCCCATAACTGTTAGATCGTTAATAATTTTAGGGTGATTCTTTCATGAAATTCTCTTGATTGTTTTTTTATTTTTTTATTTTATTTTTTTTAACGTAAATTAACAGAAATTGAAGATTGAGATGTGGAGTGTTGTGGTTTAAAGTTTGAAAAGTGGCTCTTAAATTCTATATTAGATACCACTAAGGGCTTGTTGTCTTCACTGTATAAAAATAAGTTTTAGGTTTAATAAGTTCAGATAAGTTAGAGACCAGTTCAAATAAGTTCAGACCAGTCCAGATTAGCTACTATAAGTTTAATAAGCTTTAATAAGGTCTTATAAGTTCAATAAGGTGTAATAAGTTCCAATAAATTAAATAAGGTCTAATAAGTTCCAATATGCTCTAATAAGTTCAATTAGGTTTAATAAGTTCAATAAGGTCTAATAAGTTCAATAAGGTCTTATCAGTTCAGATAAGTTAAGATAAGTTCAGGTCCAATAAGATGAAAGAATACACCCTAACTATTGAAGCTTACCAAATATCGAAGCTAATTTCGTAATATCCAAACGACCAAAGTTTTCAGAGGTTGAGGTGGTGGAGTAGTGACATCGCTCCCGCCACGTATCCCTGAGGTCTAGGAATCAATCTTCACGTAACTCATTTAAGAGATTTTCCTTATCTCCGCCCTCCTCAAATGAGCCCCTTTTTCTTACCACCTATCTATCTATACCTAGAATTTAAAAACACAACCCATCTTGTGGAACAATGCCACATGTCATCTCATTTACCCTATTCTTTTTATCCCTCCTGACATTTAATAAATAAAAATAAAAACAATGCCTTAATTCAATACATATACGAAGTATAAGAATGTTGTTTACTTCATTTTCCCTTAATTATATTTCTTTCAATTTTATTCAATTTCCACCTCTTCTTCACCATTATAAGCTATTTATTTTCTATTAAATTAAAAAAAACAAAAATTATACTCCCTCCGTCCCAATATATAGTTCATGTTTGTGTTTTTCACGGTATTTAAGAAATGGGAGGAAAAAGTGGATGAAGTACATTAAAAAAAAGTAAAACGTACAATTATACACAAAAGTTAAAGAAGAGATAGTGAATGAAGTTCATAAAAAAAAGGTGAAAAGTACAATTATAACAAAAGTTAAAGAAGAGAAAGCGAATGAGGTTCATAAAAAAAAGGTGAAAAGTACAATTATAGCAAAAGTTAGAAAGAGAAAGTGAAAAAAAATACAAAGCAAGTGGAAAATTCGATTCAAGGGTAATTTAAGAATTATAATGAATAAAGAAAAAAAATAAGAGTATTATGATCTTTATATACTATTCAAAATGAAAACAGAAACAGCATTTTGGTTCTCCAAAATAAGAACACTATAACACGGGAAGAAGAGTGTATTATATACATATGACCAACCTTGAAAAACGACCAAAGTTTTCACTACCATCGAATCGAAAGCACTGCAATTCTCTCAATTCACCATTATCCAAGACCCCACCAATACAGTTCGCCGCCAACCACCACTTGAACTTGTAAATTCGACTGCCTACCATCACTAACCACCTATTCAAAGCGCAATTTCCATTGCAAATCATTGCCATAACCGTCAGGTTAGGGTTAAGGGTTATACGGCTTTGTTTGATTGTATGAATTCATATTTTTCTAATTCTATGATTTAGGGTTTAATAGCATTCATGGAAAAATATTGCATTTGTTGTTCAGAATCTTTGATGGAAAATTTGTTTCTAAAATACATATGCAAGATGCTTATGTTAATAGATTAAAATCTTTGATTTTGATTCTAAATTTGTTAAATTTGTGTGCTTGCTTATTCTTGGAAATGTTTCGTCGAAGAGTTTAGGGTGGTTTTAGGGAGATATCATTGGCTTAGAAATTTTACTTTCCATTAGTTATTTATTTTATTTTGTGATAATTTGGTGAGTAGTTTTAATTGTAATTGCAAATTTGTCTTTATTGTGATTTGAATGTGTTGATAACTCATTGAATTTGTATTCGAAGAACTTCAGTGGCAATTGATTGTCATACATCAAGGAGTTCAATGTTATTTTTTGATATCATTATTTTTTTCCTCTTTGTAATGAAATAAACGGAGTACACTTGCTGCAATTGCTAACTTACTAAAAATTCAGTTTCAATTAAGCACTTAGTCTATGGACCTTTACTTTAAGATAACATTGTATCTACCATCCTTCTGTGCTAGTGAAGGTTATCTAGATATTAGCTTGTCTCAATTTAGTTACAAAGCACTTAATCTTTGGATTTCTTTAATTCAATTAAGGTTGTTGGATTGCTTGGGCTTCTACCATGAAAATATAAGGTTGCTTCTGATTAAGTTTGAGCATATAGGAAAATGTCCGTTGTGGAAATATCAGCTAGAAACCGCTGCCTAATGAAGAAAGGGATTGAGTCAGAAGCCCATTTTCCCTTAGCGCAGGGGCATAATTGTCCTTTTGAGGGGCAAATGATTCGGGTAATATATACCCATACGTTTTAAGCAAATCACGAAAGGACACGAAAATTTATCAGAAAAAAACCTTATAAAATGTTCATTTTGTGAGCAAACAACACCTTATAATTTTTTTTGTTCGGTTTAACTCCTTCTTAGGTTTTGTTCGTCGATATAATTTTGGGTTTTTTTTGTTCGTCGAAATACAAATATTTTTGGATTTTTCGTAATTGCTAATTCGGCTCAGTCATCAGTATTTTTAGGTAAACTAGCATAATAATTGTTAATTCGGCTTAGATTATCAATTGATTTTTGGCATTAAATCATTTTCGTTGCAATTGTGAATGTTGCAGACGAGTGTTGCAACTGATTCTCCTGTGAATTCATTAAGTAGTGATGACTTTTTGGCAATTCTTGATGCTGAGTTAGACTCTGCCTCCTCTGATCAATCCCCAGATCAAGACATTGATGCTAATGAAGATAATGACGTCGAGATTGAAAGGTAATATCATGTATACTATTTGCATCATCTTTTGTTCCCCTTTTTAATTGAATTTTACTCTAGATTTAATTTTTAGACAATCTGAAATCAAATTATGAAACTTTTCTTCTTCTTCCTTTCTTTCTTTCTTTTTTTTTTTTTTTTTTTTTTCTTTTTTTTTTCCGCCATATATTTTTAGGTATAATTAGTTTGATTGATTGCTCTTATGATACTATGAATTTGGGTAAGCATTTTTTGTCAAGAGTTGTTATTCTATTACTTTCTATCAATCTGCAATTAGTTTAAATTTCTAATTTCTATTGAATGCTTTAATTATTAGGATCAAAAGGCGCAAAGTGTCGGAAATCGAAAATGGAGAGGAGGTGCAAAGTTCAAGTTCCTTTGTGGTGGCTGAAGAAGAGATAGGTCTGTTTTAAAGTCTAGAATTAATTGATAATAAAGCTTTTTTTTTTAAAAGAGTTTTCTTTGTATATATATTGAATTTTATTGTTGAATTTTAATTTTCTATATACTGAATCACTTATCCAGATGAAGATGTAAAAGATTCATGTCCACATCCGGGTTTCCTGAGAGATATGTGCATTTGTTGTGGAAAGAGAATGGAGGACAGTGCTGGTGTTGCATTCGGATACATTCACAAGGTATATCACTACTCCGATCAATTTGTACACACACAAGCGAGGTTGATCACATGTACCAAGAAACTGAAAACCACAATGATACAAAACTTTTGGCTTGTAATGTAACCTACATATTGAATTCACGATAAATCATTGTAGAGCTATGTTTATAAAAGTATAAAGAATTAAAGAATATATTGGATTTGATCTCTGTCCTTTGTTACATTTTGTTCCTGCTCATTGTCATTGCAGTGTACTGTAGTGCTATGGTATTACTATTGGAAAGCCTTTATTTGTTTATTTTGTTGAATTATATCTTGAAAAGTTTATTGTAGTATATTGAGATCCTTAGAAATTGCAACTGCAGGACTTGAGACTTGGTAGTGATGAGATCTCACGGTTACGCAATGCTGATGTGAGGGCTTTGCTTCGCGGTAAGAAACTGTATTTAGTACTTGATTTGGATCAAACATTGCTGAATTCAACTCGATTAGAAGATATAAATGCAGAAGAGGAGTATTTAAAGGGTCAGACAGACTCCTTTCAAGGTTGGTCCGTTTACACTCTTTCTGTGTTACTGTCTTAGTTTCACTAATGGAAAATATTGGCAATGGGCCCCTTTTGCTAAAATTGACCGCCTTTGATTAGAAAAACATGTACAATCCAAGACACTTGGTTGAACCAAGGTCATACAATTAAAGCAGGTCATAGCATGGCCTATTTACACCTGTAGCACATAACTAACAATGTAACGATTTATCGATCGTCTCCATTATTCTGTGTTCTTCTCTGTCCTGTAAGTTGTCTAATTCTAATGTTTGATGCTGTATTAGATTTTTTTTGTACAGTGGAAGCCACAGTTCTGATTGATTCCAGCCAAACGGCTTCATAGCTGACCTTCCAAATCTTTTAGACAGACACTATGGGCTGCCCATTGCCATTGCTACGTTTTTTTCCCCCTCCTAAAGCTGGTTCCTATAAAGCTCCTTTACTGTTGCATCCAGACAGCTACTTGATGAATTTTTCTTTTGTTTGAAATAAAACCATTGTGTCAACATGATCATACGTTTCATATGGCCATCACAAAGATAAAACAAATTCTTCAACGTTTCATTTGCATTTATAGAAATGGGACACAATTTATAGCTGTGTATATACACAGTTTTCCAATCTTGCTCTTGTTGTAGTTTGTTCTGACATGCAAAATATTGACTTCAAGTTTCTCATTTGGCGCATTCACAAGCTATATTATGCGAGTTTCTTTTGAGTCTGACTTTAGTTATATAGCGTCAGGCCGTCAGCTATCTTTTCTGGGGCATGAGATATGTATCCTCGTTTCTTTATTATTTTAATAGAAGATACATGTAAATGTGTTGTATTGTTGACTCTATTTTACAAGTCTTCTTTAAGATGGATTTGTTTAGACAAACAAATCATCAATTCAAATTTTGCCTTTATCGAGATTGCACATCTCATGTATGTTGAGAAGTGTAAATGGCCAAATGGGCATAGTATTAGTTGCTTTGCAGATTCTGATTAACTGGAGGATGTCTTTTACTTTATCTGGAGGAGACTCAGAGATAAAGTAAAAGGACAGAAGTACAGAACAGAGAGGGGGATATAAAAAAAATTATAAAAAAAAGGCGTGATTTTCAAGAGTGGAGAGGCTATTAAGATCTGAGTGGTGATGCATGGAATTGATCTAACGGCTTTGATACTTGCTGGCAATCCGTGTAAACATAATTAAACCACTAGGATGGCTTTTTCAAGTAGGAGTATAGATTGAAGATAAGATTAAACTCCCATGCAACACACGTTTGTTAAATAATTATTATGATAATAAATTTTATCAAAAAAATATTTTTTTTTTTTAGAGAAAATACAAGTTTCTCAACATGAGAAACATGTCATGTATCTCAACTGAACAAATTCGTCATTTTCTGTCTTTAAGTTGGGGTAATTTTGGAATTTTGTATAAAAAACTGAATTTTCAAGGAAAAACAAATCCAAGGTTTCAATGGAAACTGAAGAACGCTAATGTAGAAACAAGGAAACTTTAATGGAAAAATTGAACATGACAAGGTCCGTCAATGGAGTAGGATGGTATCATTACTCTTTGGGGTTAACTTTACCATTTTTCTTAGGGTTTTAGTTCGCCGTCGAAAATATGACGGTAGAATTAGTGATTCACGAAAGGAAAGCTTGAGCAGCTTCAAGGGAGGTGGTCATGGGTTGGGATTGGAGGTAGAAGATGGAGGTTGGTTGGTTATGGTTGGAGATCTAAGGTAGAAGACGAAATAGGAGGAAGAAGGAAATGGAAAAAAGTCAAAATATAGTACACTATGTAGTACGTGTCTCGCATGCCTCGTCTACTGTTCATGCTGAGAAACATCTAATGTTTCTCATCTTGAGAAACCGCGACAATCTCTTTTTTTGACGGAACCAAAAAAATTAATATAAAGTACTAAAAATAGACTCAATATTAAAAATTACGAAGTATGAATTATGTGTGAAAGAAAATAATTAAACATGTAATAGTTATAATGGGCAATTTGATATTTAAGGAAGTATTTTAGGTTTTGTACAAACTAAAAGTCATAATTTGGATACAAACCTTACTTTTATACGGAGTATAACAATAAGTTTTTTTTAGTAAGTAATTTTGGAGGAAAAACTTTTAACATTATGTTGCCAAGTGTCCCTCTAAATTTCGTTTTTAGTATAATGTAATTGATTACTTCGTATGTGCTAAACAACAATTACACTAGTGGGGATGAAAATAGTAATGTATTGTTTAAAGTTTTCAGAAAAAAAGAAATAAAGCAAGTAATAAAATACGAATGCAAAAGTAAAGTGGAGCAAGTAATAATGTCTCGGTTGGTATGGAGCCACAAGCTACTCTTTCTTGAGTTTTCGCTCAACCCATACATAACTGAAACCACTCGTCGGAATACGAATGAAATCAAAAAGGCCATCAATAAGGGGAACAATGCAACAGCTTCACCCTGCTGCGTGCTTTTCTATGGGCTTCCGTCTCCTCTTATGTAACCCCCCGACTAGTCCATAATCATTGGAGGATTCTCACAGTATGCCCAGCAAAAGCGTTGACAACACTCAAACCGCCAACACCAACAATGAAAGTCACTACATAGGGGCTCACACCACTTTAAAGATTGATTGGATCCAGCCAAAAGTTTGAATATTGTACATTAAATTTTTCACAATTTTGATTAAAAATCTTTTGACAACCTTTTACCCAATAAAATTATACTCTTTTTTACGGAGTATTGTTTTATATAGCTCTTTTTCTTTTATTATTATATTCGTGCATCACACGAAAATTGAATTTTTAGTTCCTTTTCTTCTAGTTTCATTGTTTCATTATACATAGTAAAAAAAAATTATAAAAATAATCTACTTTTCAGTATGTTTTGTTATATTATATATAGTACTTTGTATTGTTGTTTTCAAATTATATATTTAATTAATTTTTCTAACTAGTGCATTTTCCTAAATACTAGTGGACTTAGAGGTGTCAAAATCACACCAGACTCGACCCGATCTGAAATCGACTTAAAAATATTTGATTCAAATTTCGACTCGCATGGACATAATAATTTAACATGACTCAATTTTTAAAATTGACCCGACCCAATCAGACCTTATTCAACTCGATCCAAACATCTGAATTGACACCTTTAACTGGAATTGTGTTTAAAGTTGTCGTTTTTCATCATTAAAAAAAAAAAAAAGAAATAAAAAGTACGTGGTTGAGCTTTTAAGGCCCACGAAAGTAGCTCCAAGAGTCGAGGGAAGGATAAAACCACATCAAACAATTGTCAAATTTCATATTCATACAATCATACCATATAGAGTAGATAGAACCTCTACATCGCCACCTCTCTTTCAACACCCAATTTTTTTTTTTTCGTTCTTATTACAATAAAATAGTTTAAACTCCAATGGAGAAATCATCCATATACATGTCAAAGTGCTTAAAGTCTCCTTCATGTTGCATACCAAGACATGAAGAGTACTCCCGCCTTCCGCCGCCGCCACCACCCTTAAACGGAGCAAACCGAAACAACAGTACGAACAGCAATAGAAACTGGTGCCGCCGCCGCCTCTGGAGGAGGGTGCTATGGAGATTAATGAGAGAAAGTAACAAGTGTATAAATGGAAGTGGTAGTAGTAACAGTAATAAAATGAGGCCTCCTGCCTTAACGTTTGAATATGATGCTGTTAGTTATTCTCAAAACTTTGATGAAGGCTGTCATACTGAAGATTGTCAATATTTCCAGAGGCTTTCCCCTGTTATCATCAAATGAGGGTTAGATTTTTTTTTTTTTTAATTAATTACTCCCTCTGTCTCTATAATCTAAATTTGAGATAATCATTGTCCACACAATAAATCTTTTTAGAGACTGAACTTCTTAAGACGAAAGGAATATTTTTTTTCTCTTATTTTGTTTTGGTTGTGTCTGAGGTATGAAATCATTTTGGGGTAAATCTCAGGGATACCCAAATCTTACTCCAGGAAAATCTTAATCATGTTTTTCCTAATGTATCCCTTATTTATAAGTTTGGAAAATCACAAAATGTCCAAGTGTAGGTGTAGTAGGTCTGCAATATGAAACTTGGTATTGGAATTGGAAAATATTTGACAATCTTAATCTAGGGAAATTTCAAGGATATTTGCTCTAAAATTATTAAGATTGTTTGATTTGTTTCACTAGAGGATTACTTTGAATGGTAAATACAATGTATTTCATTAAAAGAATAATTTGTGTATTTATTTACAATTTTTTTAAGAGATACATTAAAACTGTCCGGTTATTAATGTCGTTATTAAAGTCTTAACCAATCAAGATTGTTAAAATGTTTAACATAGCTCCATAGCTTCAAGAAATCCTACTTTGGATGTCATAGTTAATTTTCATTTTGATAAGCCAAAAATGAATTTGAGTAATCATTATTATGATTAGATAGTGCATCAATAGTTATGTATACCACTAGAACTCAGTCATGGATTATCAAACATGGTATCAGAGACAGTCACAAATTACACCTTATTCACCATGGTCCGTAATATAGTGGTAGGAAAAAAAGAAAAAGAGGGGGAGGGGGGGGGGGTGGTCTTACTTGTATGATACCTGTGCTAACTCGTACTCCGTTACTAGGTAACTCCTAAGATCTGTTTTATATTTATTTACTTAATCATAAAAACTAATCTGTGTACAGTATTTTTGGCAGCATGTACGGAGAAAATATTCGTTTTGAAAATACCACATGACTTGTGTGACTGTGTCGATACTTTAACTGACCTATTGGCCCATGGTGGTCTCAATCATTATTTTTTTTTTTTTTTTTTAAGGAAAACGCTCCAAAGAGTACTAGTTAGTAGTTATCATTTATAGGGAGATCAAAATATCAATTGATTGTTGGTGTAATGGTGATTGAAGCTGTATTAGGAAGGATTGCGCGTTCGATCCCATAATAATAATTGGTGGGTGGGTGGGGGGAATGAAACCTAATTAACCACTCAAAACTGAACCCTAAATTCATTTTAGTCCAAAAGGTGAAAAAGATAAAAACACCCAAAATTTAAAATAAAAAATAGAGAAATCAAGGTTCGAGCAATACATAACGGAAAATCCGACACATACTGATACCTACATTCCATGGCAAGCCATGATAACCAAATAGTTGTTGAAATTATAATGGCGAGTGAAATTATAAATGTTGGCTGTCTTTTCATTCAATACAAAGTTTTATATATATAATCGTCTTACCATTATAAATATGTATCTGTTGTGATTTGTGATATGTCTTTTTATCAATATTAATACAAAGTTGTTAATATAACCGTCTTACCATTATATGTATCTGTTTCAAATAGTGATCCAATAATAAAGCTAATGTTGATAACATAATTTGTTGCTTAATCAACTTTTCAAAATACATGTACATAGAAAGAATTGAAATTTGAAAATTGACTTAACAATTGCAAAACGTCATCCAAGCAAATGGGCTCTGATCCATTGACAATGAGGATGACACTACAAAAGATAAATGATGTGTAAGTTTTCTCATTCTATAAATACATTAGTTTTATTATATTCTATAGTTTGGAGCAAATCAAACCATTACATAGAGGAAGAGCTTCCGCAATTAGAGGACATCAGGGCAATAGTTTTAAGACTAGAGTATCTTCAATAGTTAGCTAATTGTTAAAAAGAATATATTGGTTACGGACTATCGTACGAAAATTTGCATGCGGCAGACTTGGCTGATATATTATACGTTGCTAAACATCGTCTGCAAATCTCTACATAAAGCCCACAAATTTTAAGTGAATTGACATTTTTGTCCACAAACTAAAAAAACACACTCTCATCTTCTCTCTACTGTTTACTCTCATTTTCTCTCTCTAAAAAAAAAATTTCAAACTACAATGTCAAGGCGGCAAGGCAAGGAAGTGGCGGCACCAGAGGAGGAGGGAGGGCGGTCACGCGGTGGGAAGGTATTTTTTTTTAAATAACAAAAAAAAATTTTAAAAAAAAAACCGATGCGGCAGCGGCGCCCTAGCCAGACGCCTAGCCCATGGCAGCGGCGGCTGGGCGAGAAGCCAGGGCCACGGTGGTGGCGTCTTGCGTGGGTGCCTCCACCGTGGCCAAGGCGTCCTGCCCACGCGCCGCCGCCGTGGGCCTAGCGTCTGGCTAGGGTGCCACCACCTTTCTTGGATTTTTTTTTTAGAATTACTGTATTTTTTTTTTGTTTTTGTTTTTTTTTTTTTTTTTGTTTAATTTTTTGTTTATATTTTTTTTATGTTTATATTTTTGATTTTTTTGTTTTTGTTTATATTGTTGATTTTTTTGTTTTTGTTTAGATTTTTTGTTTTTTGTTTTTGTTTATATTTTTTTGTTTTTGTTTATATTGTTTTGTTTGTTTTTATATTTATTTTTTCAAATTTGTTATTTTTTTTGGTATGTTTATATTTATTTTTCAATTACTTGTATATTGTTTTGTTTATTAGTTTTTTTCCAATGTTGTTATATTTTTTTTATGTTTATATTTATTTTGTATGTTTTGGTATTTTTTTTTTATTTTTGTGTGTATTTTTTTTTGTTTATATTTTTTTTTCAGTATTGTGTACCTTTTTTTTTATGTCAATTTGTTAGTATTTTTTTTGTTTATTTGATATATTTTTTGGTTAAATATTTCTAATTTTTGTTGTTGGTACTTAAAAATTTAGATTATTAATATAAATAATAATAACAATTGCTATTATTATTTTTCGTTATTTAAATGGAGTTAGGTATCGCATTTTCGACCTGGTGCGGGGAAGAGTATGGATGTTATTAAAAGTAGAATCTATTCAATGGAGAGCTTGGGGTTCAAACACGTTAGATCCCGTGGTATTTCGGCCTCGGCTCGCAGAGAACGGGTTCACCATCCTGAGGAGTATATGAAGATGATGACGGTGATGAGGAAGAGGAGGAGGAGGAGGACGCAGATGAGGATGTGGTGCTTGGGATGGACGATTAGAGTGGACCATATGATGATTACGGTCCATTCAGTCAGAGGGTTGATGATATGTATGAGACGCATAGGGTAGATGTGCGTAAGGGTAGAGATGGTAGATTTGTTAGTAGATCTGGCACATCATCTACGTTCACTATGTCTGCGGGAATCAAAAAACGGTCGAGGGGCGTTAATGATTCTTGGGTGGTAAGGGGTGAGGTGGCTGGGGGACCTGTAGACGGGAGTGTGATTCCTAGCTTTCTAGGACACATAGCTACCCGTATATGGGAGGACCAGGGAGGGCTTTGGATACGGGCATTTTGAAATGCCAAACCCGGGAAAAGACTTGTAACTTTTTGCGTAGTTGGGCTGAGGCTTGGCCGGAGGAGAGCGAGATGCTCGGCCGATTGAGGGGCACTAGAGTGAGTTACCTTCCTGCCACCATGCACGATAGGATTGACTCAACGCTGATCACGACTTTCGTTGAGCGATGGCAGCCGGATACGAACTATTTCCACCTTCCGTTCGGTGAGATGAATATCATGTTGCATGACATCGAGACCATCCTTGGGACTCCCGCAGAGGGAAAACGACTTTCTGTTGTGACTGATGCGCATCAGACAAATTTACTAGCGGAGTTGTTGGCGGTGGACAGGGGTGCGCTGTACACCGCGGGGGCTTGGTGTTTGGGATCACAGCGATGTGAAGATCGCAGTCGTTTTGCGGCGATGTTTACACCCTACTGCACGTAGGACGCATGACACACAACTGGCTGCATATGTTTTTCTTCTCCTCGAGTGTACCTTGTTTCCGGATAAGAGCGAAAACAAGCTCAGGCCACGTGACATAGTTGACGCGTGTGAGCCTGACGGAGTAGGCCAGTATTCTTGGGGGTCGGCTACGTTGGCATATCTGTATCGCCAGTTAGGATTCTCGAGTCGGGCTGACGCGACAGGTATCATTGGATGTCTGACATAATTACAAACCTGGATATACGAGTATTTTCCTGCGTTCAACCACATCGCGACCCGGTTCCTATTGGGGATGGGATGGCACGTGTCTCTGCGTGGAGTCCGTGGTTCGAGAAGAAGTCCGTTGACTGCCTCCGATCGATACGGTTATTGCTTGACAGGATGTCCCCCTTAGAGGTAAAGTGTATAAATTATTTCTAATTTTATATTTTGATGCATTTATTATATGAATCTTACTGATTTGAAAAAATGTGCAGGTGAACTGGATGCCTTTCGGCCAGAACCCTAGTAATAGGGTACCCAAGACCCTTTACACGGGACTGATTCAGTATCGTGAGATCGTAGAGGCTTACATGCCCCAGCGCTGTCTTTGCCAGCTTGAATTTGTCGAAGTTGTCCCTCCTTCGCCAGCATGACCCAGTAAGGCGGTCCGATCTGCGTCGTCGAAGGAGTACGTCGTCCAATGGCCGGAAAGCATGGTTGCCACGTGGGAGCATTTTTCGATGATTGCCCGCCTATGGACTGCGGAGCTGCAGCGGCCTCCAACTAGGGTGACTGACATGTGTGACCAGCACTACATGGAATGGTACAGCTAGTATTCGCATCCGAGGTTGATCAGAGACCTCCACCATGACGACGACATCGATGATGATGTGCCACTGCCCACTGCCGTGGATGCGATATGTCTCATAGTAACATTTATTGTTGTATTTTTTTTTTCTTTTTTTATATATTACATCGATGTTGAATTTTATGTCTGCCTTTGTGTGTAGTGGATGGAAAAGATGATGCATCTGGGACAAAGACTCTTTCAGGAGAGGGACAACATGACGACTGCATCAGGAAGAGCTGTTATTGATGATCTGGAACGGGCCCTTGAGCAGTGGCAATGGGTGTCACAGAGGGATTACTGATCTGTAGACAGTTTATTTATAGAACATTTTGTACATTATCATAGTAGTTTGTAATATTTGACAATATCTTTTTAGTTTGTACCATTTGACATTATTATTTTAAGTTTTTAAAATTTGACATTATCTTTTTAGTTTGTAACGCACAAGTACTAATTAGTTTGCATGAAAGATATAAATTTAGTCAAAATTAGAGTACGAAATATAAATATATGGAATAAAAATATAATAAAAATACAAGGTTACATAGAAAAGGTAGGTATACACGTGAAAAACTAAAATGCAGCTAGGTTGTTCCAATTCTGCATCCGGCTATAATACAGCGCATCCCAACCCTCTACGCTTGTTCTGCAAATGGTGTACCACTGAGGTATGATCGGTGGCACCGGAAAATGGGATGACAGGTCCAATCGGATGAAATGTTTGTATGACGACCCCAGAAATGCAATAGCTAACTCTTTTACCGGTGCGGTGACGGTTGCACGCGAACACCAAGGGAGAACCGTGGTACATGGATAATAAGCTCGACTATGCAAACCAAGCCCAAAATGCATGACTGCACACTTGTAGATGTTTGCAACGACAAACAGATTAAGTGGCGCGTCGAACCAATGATTTTGACCGCAAGGTCCTCCTCCCCACCAGATACGCTGCAGAGAACTATCCAAGTATTGGTCGTACACATGGTGATAAACATCTCGGTTTGAGGCGATTTCACTGTACATCAACTGACGCACTAAACCGTAGTTGTCTTCACCCATCTGAAACACATCAGCCACGACCCAGAATCTGCAGCTACCATCTGCAACCACATCATTCCACCAGTCCAAGTATGCCATGATGATGTTAGGGATCCTGTTCTTATATGGAAACTGATCGATATCCATTCTTCCTATTGCACATATCAATAAACACAATTAACAAGTCAGCAGCAAACTAAACAAACATTCTAAAAAGTAAATTACAGTAAAGTACTATACCGGTGCCGGGCATATTCACCGACGAAGAAGATTGGCTACAACTAGATGACGATGAACGACTACGGCCACGACCACGACCAAGAATGTACTCAAACGCACTCCTGTTCCGCCGTTCTTGTTGACCTCTAGGTCGCTCGACCCATTCAGGTTCCTCATGATCCAAGTATGACGTGTTGAACATGTCATGAAGTACGTGGGTAGCATCACGAATGATTGAAGGGTGACTAGAGGACACTCGGTCAAACATCGAACGAAAGTGCCCCAACTCCTCTTGTTCACGGTGGACCGTCTGTGGAACAACATGCTCTCCAATAATGAGCGTCCGCCAGAATGGATGAACTTGATCAACATGTAACGACGCCCTATCTTGCGTAATTACGCGCTGAATGGTGCATGCACAAGGTAGTCCATGAGTCACTGATATAGCACATCCGCACCGAATTTCCACTTCATAACCCAAGTCCTTCATCCTATTGTGCTCGCTCAGAATCAACCCCAAGCAGTAGTGTGACACACGACCATGGAGAATCTTAAATATGAGATGACAATACATCATGCCATGGCGCCGTCTAGAGTCCTCGAGAGAGTTCTTGATGCCGTTCTTTTGAGTATCAATAGCCTTGTTTATTCTCTCGAACAGTGTATCTAGAGCAGAGGTGGAAGAATCAATCAAGTCCTTCAAAGCTCTATGAGCGCTCTCAGCTCTACATGTTGTAGTGTTTCCAAAATGAAGAACTTAGTTTGTCCAATATTTGACAAACTTTTCCTTCTGAGGTATCCACTGCTGCATACATAGTTTACCATTGCCGGACACCATTGGTATGCATCCTTCAAGTTATCCAAGGTTTGATCGTACTCTGCCTCTGTGGTAGCTTGCAGGATCCTCTGCCACTTACCATTTACCAATCCCTCTGCTGAATCCAAAGTCTTGTTGAAAAAGTTGTAGGCTTTGACTTTCACACAGTTGTTGATGTGCCATGTGCACAGTAAATGCTTCGACTCTGGAAACAGCTCCGCTATAGGGGCAAAGAGACCTCCCTCACAATAACTGACGATGGCTGATGGCTGAACATTAGGGCCGATGTAGTTTCTCAACTTCTCCAACACCCAATAATAACTCGCAGCCGTCTCATCCTTAATGACTGCATAACTAATCAGAAAGTTCTGGTTTGTTGGAGCCATCTCAACCATCTCAACTAGTGGGAACTTGTACTTGTTTGTCTTGTATGTTGAATTGATCAAAATCACAGATGGTCAAGACTTGATCATATCAGCACAATCAGGATGTATAAGGAATAAATGAGTCACCTCCGATGTCTCTTCATCAGAATCAAACCAGAATAGGTAACCACGTGCTTGTGCCTGATGCAGAAGCTGCTGAATAAGGTTCCGTCCCTCTGACCGTTCAAACCTCAGTTTCTGTCTAACGTTGTAGATGTGTCTTCTGTTCGGCTGGTCTTCAGGAAATTTCTCTAACACAGATGCTAATATTTTAGCAGGCTTCACTTGAGCATCACTCATTTGTTTGACAACTAGTTTTGCAACAGGACTTAGGCCGCTTAATTGTCGATGACCCACTTCATATACTATTATCTCATGGTTGTTGTTTCGGGGTTTTTTATGTGTCCTGCGGGAGAGTTACAATTCCGAGACTGGCTTGCTGGCCGGCTGTGTACCTGCAAAACAACGAAACTCCGGTTGGGTGGAGTTCCGCCTCCGACGATCAAATTAGAATTCGTTCGAAGTGAATAGTGCGGAATTAAATGGTTTTTTCTCTGATTCAGAGAGAATAAGTGCTAGTTTGGTTTTTGTGTTTTTTGTGTTTTAAATTTCTGAATACCCAATAAATGAGGTATTTTCCTCTATTTATAGGGTTGGGGAACTGTGTCCCTACCAGTAAGGGTGTGCCACGTGTCAGCCTGGGATTGGCTCCCACTTGCCCTCTCTGGGACTGACACGTGGCACTCTTTGATTGGGCCACGTGGCGTGCCACGTGGCATCTGTGACATGGCATGCCACGTAACATCAACGTGACAGTTGTCACAATGTTGGGAAGGGGATGGTTGGTCTCCTTCCCTCCATTTTTTTTTTCCGGAAAGGGGAGGTGACGGTTCGTCATCCTCCAAAATTTTGAATTTTGAACCAGGGAGATGGCGATTCGCCTTCCCTGATCCCTATATAAGGAATCCCTCCTTAATCATTTGCAACATTTGCAAATTTCAAAAAATCGAGAAGAGCTCTGATACCGGCTAAGTGTAAACACAAATCATTCCTTTTTCTTCACATCCGGCTTTGCTTCCTTTCCTGACTCAAGACGCCTGCTATTTTTCGGCTGAGGTAACTTTCAAACCTCTTTGCATATTCATCCGGTGATCCTTGGAAAACTTGTTATATCTTCTCAATAGACCCCCATCCGGTATAAACCGCATGGGGTGCTGTCGAGTAATTTCTGGGTTGCTTCTCACAGCTCTCAAAGGACCCCCATCCGGTTAGGACCGGCTGAGGGATCTTTGACCCCATTTTTTCCAAGGCTCCTCAATGTACCCCCAACCGGTTTTAGCCGTCTGGGGGGCATTTGAGTAGATAAAGGACTTTCATAAGACCCTTTAATAAGCCCCCATCCGGTTTTAACCGTCTGGGGCGCTTTTGGGTGAAATCTAATTCTTCCCAAAAGCTTTCAATTGACCTCCATCCGGTTTTAACCGTCCGGGGTGCTTTTAGGTGAATTCTGATTTTTCCCAAAAGCTTTCAATAGACCCCCATCCGGTTTTAACCGTCTGGGATGCTTTTGGGTGAATTCTGAATTTTTCCAAAAGCTTTCAATAAACCCCCATCCGGTTTTAACCGTCTGGGGTGCTTTTGAGTCATTTTATTTTTCCCAAAAGCTTTCAATAAACCCCCATCCGGTTTTAACCGTCTGGGGTGCTTTTGAGTAAGTTTGACCAAAGACGTTGACCAAAACCGGATGGGGTGTTTTTGGGTAAGTTTGACCAAAAACGTTGACCAAATCCGGATGGGGTGTTTTTGGGTAAGTTTGACCAAAAACGTTGACCAAAACTGGATGGGGTGTTTTTGGGTAAGTTTGACCAAGAACGTTGACCAAAACCGGATGGGGTGTTTTTGGGTAAGTTTGACCAAAAACGTTGACCAAACCCGGATGGGGTGTTTTTGGGTAAGTTTCTGAATTCTGATTACTTGATAATTTTTGCAGATATTTGTTGAGACCGTCTGCAGTACTACCAATTAGCCTTCAACTTTCAACTTTCAATTTAGTACCAAGGTACCGCCTGTATTTCTTACATTCTTTGTCAATTTTCCGGCTGAATAGGTAGTTAAAATGGACTCACCCAACACACACTTGGCACAACCTAGAACTGATGTCAACCGGTCACCAAGTACGGCTAAGTCTAGGACTGGGGATGCCGCCTGGAAGTGTTTGGTCCATCCTTGTGATAAAAATCCGACCATCTCTGCTCATGTGCAGGACAGAATGGCCCGCACAAGATGGACGGCGGTCGATCCTGAATACCAGTCCGAAGGTTCAGTCGGACCTCCGGTTGAAGACATTCCATACGACCGACCGGGTAACCCTAGTACACCCGGGGACCATATATTAGAGGAGCCAGAGAGCTCCGGGGCAGAAGGACCTGCCCAGTCATCCGGCTCAGAATCAGCCGGGGTACCGAATGCCCCAATTGAGGACGAAGAGGCCTACAGATGGCCATCAGTAAATAACCCCCAGGATGCGTCCGTCAGCGCGCGGGACCAGGTCACCCTAAACGCCACCTTCCCGGCATTTTTGGCGAAGCTCCGGTAAGGGACGGATAGGAAGTGATTGTTCCGCCAGCAAACTCAACCGTCGTTTGGGACGACTTGATCCCCCATGCGGAAAACTACTTCGACTGCTACGAGGCAACATTTAAGGCAGGCCTCCGGTTTCCCTTACACTGGGCCATCCGGGCTATCTTGAGGGGGTATGACCTGGGAGTATGGCAGTTGACACCCAACTCCTAGGTCAACATTCTTGGGTTCATCGCCGCCTGCGAGATGCAGGCAGTTACGCCTAGCTGGGAGGCGTTTGCCCACATGCATTATCTCAGCCGGGCTCCTGGCGGATGGAATGCGTGGTACACTCTCACCACGCATCCGGAGTTCCTAATGA